TTAGAAAATAAAGAGCAGAAGACTTAGAATGAAGTGTTAAGCATTCAAAGGATGTTAACATACCTGCTGACTAGATAATCCCAGTTGAGCCGTACCCAGTCCCAAGCCATGGTTTTACCGTAGCTGTTATAGGAGATGTATTTCAGGACAGTGAACACATCCTGACTTTTAATAAGACTAGTGTTGTAAATATACTTGAGATACCTAGGAGAAACCAGATGGGAAACAATTAAACAGAATTGGAAATCTTTCCTTACAGATTGTAAAAAGTGGGTTGTAAAGTAACTGTTCAAGTATGGATTTTCCAAGGCTGAGTATAAGAAATAGTGAACGCCATCTTAATATTTTCATGTCTTTGTTTGTTTGCTGAGATCAGTCTAAACCATCTGGTTAGTACAGCTCAGATCTGCAACAGTGTTTGTATTTTGCCATGGAAAATATAGCATTAGAGACATATTTTTCCTAACGCAATTTAGGGATGAAATAGTCTGGTCTAAAATAGTCTGATTATCCTACTATGGATAAGATTTTCAAAATTGACATAGTCACAAAGGTATCACCAGTATTTCATTTTTTTAGAAGCTGCATACAGGATTCAAGCTATAGCAATGGAGGAACAGAGGGGCTGGGGTGTCAGAGGCAGGCTGTGGCCGAGAGACCAGCAGCCCAGCTAATTTCTGAGGCGGGATTCCTGCCTGCCTCATCCCTGCACCCACTGCCGGGCCCATGTGGGTCTACAAACCTGAGGAAAGGGGGAGGAAACCAGCCAATGGGATTGTCCTGGGGCAGGGGTAGCATGCCAAGCCTCTTCCCCCTCCCCCAGGCTCACAGCTGTTCAGACAAATAATCCCACCGCCGCTTTTCTGAGCAGTGAGAGAGGGGTGGGACAGACAGGGAACCTGCCTGAGGCTCCCTGCTGCCTCTGTGGGCCAGATCTGGTGGATTGGCAGGCCGGATATGGCCCATGGACAGTATTTTGCTGAGCCCTGGTGTAATAGTTAGTTATGAAATAACCTTAAATGATATACACCTGTGAAGTTATATGCAATGCAAACCTTGATCACCACGTATCCGATCACTGTTACCCTCGTGTTCTAAGGCTTCCTATTGTTGATTATGCTCATTTGTCATTTCTTCAACTGTAAACTCTTTGGAACAGGAGCTGCTATTTTATGAAGTAGCACAATAGTGCCCAGATCCCAGCTGGGACCTTGGAGGACAGTAGCCCTTATGGTGTCAGTGGTAACAATGAGGGTAGTTCTATGTTTACAAGAGATGAAAGGGATAATGACTCTCAGGGAGGACAAATTAAAGAGTCAGCATTTGACAATCTACTGTGTTCTATGTTGTGCAATACGCATGACACAAATGGCAATACGGGGGACTAGCTTGGGGAAGGAGCATTAATTCCACTAGAAAATAACTCTCAGCATATTTTCAGTGACCTGTCCAAAAGCGTGATGTTTTTCACTGATGCCAGACCATAGAGCAACTTTTCTTTCTCTTGAGCTAATGGAGTGCTTTGATATTTCTGAAACATGTAGTTCCATGATGTCTCATTGCCAGAGTTCTGCATTCCATAGCGATAAACCAAGAGCCGGAGATTTACAGGTGGACTAAACAAACAAACAAACAAACAAACAAATAAATAAATAAAGCAATATATTATGATTGCCACCTTTTTCTGAGTGGCATTATAATACAACACACAATGCTCTTAACTGAATGCAGAAACCATAAATATTCACCTTACTCCACCTAACCAGGAATAAAATAAGCTAGATGCATTGTTTAAAGCACCCATGTCATCCATACTGCATGCAAATTCTAAAACAGCTGCACGAAGAAGCCTTAAAAACACAAAGAGAAAGACAGAGATTTGTGTAGTGTTCAACACAGAATATTAAATATTAATGTACACCAAAAATTCTTAACCTCATCACATGGCTTTCAGTTTCATCATCGTCCCAACCAAGCTGACTTGCAATGGGTTGAACCAGATTGCGAAAATGTGCCTGAAATAAAGAGGTTTTCTGATTACATTTATGAGTTTCATGATGTAACAAGGTTTTCATAGTCATAATTTGCCTTTTTAAAAATTACGACAGTGACATCAAAGCTCCTTAATTATAGCATGTGGGGGAAAAAAGCCTCAACAAAGTCACAATGTCATGAAGGGATGGGAACATCACTCTGCTCTTTGCTTTGTGCTGACACTTTTCGATATATCACCATCTTGAAACCTTGCTTAAGTTATGATAAAATAACCATAAAGTAGGACAAGCATTGCTCAGCTTAGTTCTCTCATCTAATACCAACTAAAGATTGTGCATATCTGTGCTGATCATGAAGTATGTTTAACCCCAGGTCAGCTATCATGATTGCCCACAATCTGACAGAGACATTGTTACATTATATAGCATAGGTACGGCATCAGAAGTTTTGCACTCTTGAGCAATCCTGCTGG